GGCAAACAGTCAACCGGTGCGAAACCACCCCGAACCTCCTCGCTTCTTAAACAACAGGGAATAAATTAAATAGGCATTATAAATAAAATAATTAATAAATACAATACATACTTACACAGATATGATGGCTTAAAAAAAATAAAACGGTTAAATCCGAAGCAGATAGCTGTTTACAATATAATCAGAGCTCTACAATTTTGAGGATATTATACCCTCCAATGCCGTTCGATGAAAAGTGCATAATATGGTAATTTATGTAATGCAACAACTAACGTAAGCTTCTAAAAAATGACTGAGCTGAGAAGGCGACAAAATGTGGATGTAAGTTTAGCACTTTTGCCAGAGACCTAAATAACTATGTTTCTGCTTTTTCACTCTTTTATTTACAAAGCACCATAACATACCGACCCAGAACATAAACGTTAAAGCGCTTAGTCTTACCCATGACTGTCAAGTTAATTTATAACTTAATCTTTGCTTATAAATTTTCGAATTCCATTGTTTGGAACCTATTCTATTATTCTAAACCGTATACAATTTTCAGAACTTGATTTATGTGCTTAGTTTGACAGAAAAGCATATGATAATGTAGTGTGCTAACATATCAGCGAGATCCATAGCTACAGAACTGTAGGGCACATGCAGGCATTTATTTTGGAAATAAATTTTTAACCCATATTATAATAAAACAAAACATGGTGTCTAACTCCGAATTACAGTCAGTACCCCCTCCTCAGAGTCACCCTCATTTACACTTTCAGAGGAATTGCAAAGGCAATGGTCTATTACCATTGACATTGTCTTCTACTATCATTTATCCCCACAACCATGGCATTCATGTCTTTGTTTTTTTTTTAATCTCCGTAAACAGTGTCAAAAATCTGCTTGCCAAGTTGAAAAGTCAAATTCAACCATGAAACGGTTTATAGTATATGTGCTACACAGCTGGTATGTTCAGGTTACATGCAACCAAATATCCTACTTGCCTAGATGATATGATGTCATAGTAAGCTATATGACGTGAAGTTAAGAGATAATAATTTCTTAAAATCGATATCTAAGATTGATTCAAGGTCATAAAAATGAATCAGAATATGCAGAGGTATAATATTATCAATGGAATTTTGTAGTTTCTGGGTCTCTGTAGTTATCAGGGGTTAAATACCAAACCCGTGATGTCATAACTGTTGATCATGCAGTAGCAGAGTGAAAGTGAAACGTAATGAGAATTCATGTAAACAAACACAAGAAAGCAGAGTTTAAAAGCATTTAGAATGAATATCATGTGTGACTCATGTGGGAATAAAGCTTAATTATGAATAAGGTATGGTAATACAATTTCTTTGTAAAATTAAAGCAGGGAGGGTGTTTACTTGCCGATCAGCCTTTCCTCTGTCGTTCGTAACAAAAAAGATGCAAAAATTCAACACTACGCCGCATCCCTTGAAACTTAATTTTTGTTTCTATATCTTAAGAGTTCTTATTCTATTGTTTTTGGAAAGTGCTGCTAGAATCGTATGGTTTATGGGAATTGATGCATTTTTAGCTCACCTGAGCCGAAGGCTCAAGTGAGCTTTTCTGATCACATTTTGACCGTCATCCGTCCGTCCGTCTGTCTGTCCGTCTAGCTGTCCGTCTGTAAACTTTCCACATTTTCAACTTCTTCTCAAGAACCACTGGGCCAATTTTGACCAAACTTGGTACAAAGCATCCTTGGATGAAGGGGAATTTAGATTGTAAAAATAAAGGGCCAAGTCCTCTCAAAAGGGGAGATAATAAAGAAAAGACAAAAATAGGGTCAGCATTTTAGATAAGAGTATTTATTATATTGACCGAGGATCCTAATCAAAATATGGAGGTTCGTATTATATGATGCCAGACAAAAATTGTGACAAGACGAAATTGCATGTTTGTGCTTTAATGCTAGGTCGAGCAAGGGCAAATTCCAGGATATAAACAGTTAATTACAAAATTGTTATAGTTTGAGGTTGAATTGCAATTCTGATTTACTGCTTCATGGACCCTTAAATTTATAGAAAATATTTCAGGCATGTAGCATCAGGAGGGGACTACGCCCTTCCATTTCTTTTTTGCAAACATAACCTCCTTCTATCATGTTGTTGGTCATTTTTGGTGCTTTATACATAGACAAGGTTTGTCCGCAAAGTTTGTGGACAAGCTAAATTTTAAATAAAAGTTGTGACATTGATATGTATTATTAACATATTGTAACAGGAAAGGAGAAAATGTATGGCTGGACCCGGAATCGAACCCGGGACCCCTGTATCTCCAGTCAGGTGCTCTACCATCCAGGCCGATATCCACTGCCCAAACCATTATATTCCTCCCTCCTTAAATGGTCTTCGCCCTCGAAGACACAACCCGAGTTCTTATTACCCCTTGGCAGGACTTTCACCTGCAATTCCAGGGGTGGTCAATGGCACCAAATCTGTAACAGGAAAGGAGAAAATGTATGGCTGGACTGGGAATGGAACCCGGGACCCCTGTATCTCCAGTCCGGTGCTCTACCAACTGAGCTATCCATGCTGATATCCATGGCCCAAACTATTACAAATTATGAACAATCCTTTACTGAATGTGAATTACAAAGTGTAAAATTATGTTCAATTTCAAATATGTAATTACAATTATGGCTCCATTATTAGACTTGGGATGGGGACCCGGAGCACTGCACTTTATAAATTTCATTTGAATTTGTAAAATTCCATGGAAATTTGGATGGTTTTTACATTTTTTGCTTGACAAAGGTTATAATGTCTAAGTTGCAAAATTTGAACGTTTAAAGTTTTTAAATGGCTGAGAAATCGAGGTTAATATCTATCAAGACAGAATCAGCATTGGTAGAAAAATTGACGTTTTCAGAAAAGGTTGAGCAGAGAGCAGTGATAAAATTCTGTGTAGACATCAGAAAAACACCAGCAGAGACCCATAAATTCTGTAAACAGTCGGGAAAATATAGCAAATGAAGCAGTTCTTTACTTATTAAGTGGGATATAAGAGTTTTGGACAGAAGGAACAGTTTACAGGATGACATGCGTGAAGAAAGACCAACATTCCGAGATTGCAGTAATATGAAATTTGTTAAGGTGACTTTGCTGTATTTCTGTAAATAGTGCAGGTTCCCCGAACGTCATAAATGTTCGACGTTATTTCTCTGTGATGTCATAAATGCTGCACATGCAATCAACGGATTACAAACATGCCATCGGGTTGTAAAAATAAAACATTTCACGTGTTTTAAGTCATAATATGGCAAATATGAATAAGTCACAAATGTTAATATAAGTAATACAACATCATTTCAAAAATCTATCGGGCTATAAATACGGGTTGGTACGAGATCAAATTCACCATAAAGCCCTTCGGGCATCATGGAATTTGATTTCGTGACCAACCTGTATTTATAACACGATGGATGTTTAAAATTGATAACTTATTTCTTAAAAAATAAATGTATTGAGTTAAACGGTGACTATGACTATGTGGAGAAAAGTTACATGCTTTTAACCTTTGACGTCATGTAATGTCAAGGATTTTTCTTTAAGTGCTCCTAATATAAATATGTGTCTTTGTCAGTTTGTGTATCTGATGAAAGTATAACTGTGTTTTGTTTTTGTTTAAAACTTGCATATTAATGAAATGAAACATGAAATTAATGAAAATAATAGTTTGAATTTCATATTAATGTTTGTCAGTATAATTATCAATGTTGTCCATGGACTTTACGAACAACCCTCGTATATCGGGAGGTATGATTCTATGTCACAAAATTGAAATTAATCAAAATAAAAGAATTTTGACCGATTTCTTACAATAAATTTGAGTGTTTTTGTAGGAAGCCCTTCAGTCAGGTGAAGAGGAAGCTGCAGTCTTGCCTGGAGAACCACAGTTGGAGAATACACAGTCCATTCCACAAGGTTCAGACAGAACAACAGAGGCACTGGACACTGCACTAAAAGATTTAACACCACGGTAAGGACAAATTTACAAAAAGAAGATCTATGCCTTTTTTCATCAAAGATTTTTAACAAATCTTTTTGATGGAAAAATCAAAAGTTTGTTTTCTCTTTATTTCTTCTATAGTCTCTTTCAGTGGTATGATGGTAATATATGTTGTAAATAATTAAATCAGACAAAACATACCCATGAAGTTGATCTTTCACGATAATGTTTAACACAAACCATATTTTAAAAGCCATAGAGTTTCTAAGAACAACTTAACAAAAATCCTTCACTCTTATTTAATGTTTTGACATATGATAGAAAGAGACATCAATCTACTACACAACTTTACTTTTTAGCTTACCTGAGCCAAATGCTTAAAAGAGCTTTTCTGATCACATTTTGTCCGTTGTGAAGGGGAGTTTAAATTCTAAAAATGAAGGGCCAAGTCCCCTCACAAGGGGAGATAATCAAGAAAAGACAAAAATAGGGTGGGGTCATAAAAAATCTTCTTCTCAAGAACCACTGGCCCAGAAAATCGGAAACTTATGTGGAAGCATCCTTAGGTAGTGTAGATTCTAAATTTTCAAATCATGACCCCCAGGGGTAGGGCAGGGAAACCAAGTTTTACATTGAAATATAGAGGAAAAAATCTTTAAAATTGTTAAAATCATGACCCCATGGGGTAGGATGGGGCCACAATAACCATTACAGAGGGGTATTCTGGTAAAAAACAAAGTAACTCAGATGAGTGGTGTCGCCTATGGGCCTCTTGCTGAAAGAACATTTAGCATTGTTAAAATAAAGGGCCAAGTCCTTTCACAAGGGGAGATAATCAAGAAAAGACAAAAATAGGGTGGGGTCATTAAAAAATCTTCAAAATGTCTAAATTATGATCAGTGGGGTAGAGTGGGGATGCATTATGTATTACAAGGGGGAAGTTTGGTAAAAAACAGAATGGTCAAAGCTTCTCAGGTGAGCGATGTGGCCCATGGGCCTCTTGTTAAAAAGTGATATGTCATTTATTAGAAAAAAGTATTAATTTCAGATTAACTTTTAATGAAAGATTGAATAAAATAGACGAAACATTAATCTTGATCAAATGTTATGCAGAGGGCCACGTGGAAATTGAAGTTCTGTCAACCCCTTGTTTTGAGAGGTTTTAAGTATGTATTATCTTTGACAATTGTTCCAAACAGTGTTCGAAATTATCGTCGGTCCGTCGGCCCTGCGCCGACGTACACATCGAAGGACTCGTGATCAGTGCGACCAAATGGGTCCTTCTTATTTATTTGGGCCGACGCGGTTGTCGGGAATAAAATTTTACAAATATTGTTTATGTATTTAGATTTATCTATCTAGCGTTTTGATTTGATTTGTTGAAAGAAATGAACCAATGAGCGAATTGATAAGAAATAACGCATGAGATCATGAGATTGGTAAAACTAGTGAATTGTATGATGATAGAATCAGTCGTGCTTTTCGTAGATATTTATACGGTATTGAATTAAAATCGAAACAAATTTTATAAAACTATTCACGATCTTTTAAAATTGTGATATTTCACTTAAAAATGTTTAACTGTTTCATACTGTAAATGCTTGTAATTTGTGAGAGACACACATCGTGAAATGAACTTATTTTCCTTTAAAAATCCGGTAGGGAAACAATGTGGCGCTTTTATTCCCTCGCGCAACTAAACAATAATCACGAACGTTTCATCAACCTAGTATATTCGGGTCGCTTCGATAGACTCGCTCAGTAAGTTCTACTTCGTATTTGTGCATTGTCATATAATCGTGCGTATCTTGAGACAGTCTGTATGAATTAAAAATGTATGTCATCTCGGACGCTCAGTAAATACAATTATTTGACGAACTTCGCGGTTTTATTAAGAAATTTCCTCGTGTCTGGGAATTTGGGGTACATGCACGTTATTCCTGAAAGTGACCAAAGTACCTTCATGAAATAAATCATTTATTTACCAAGATGTTTGAATAAACGTCTGAAATCAATTTTCAAGTCTTTATTCTAATAAAATGTGATGGGTAAATTTTGGACCTACGCTGCCTTGGCAGGACTCATGTAGACCCTTTTGTTGTGGGTCCTTTGGTCCCATAGGAAATAATTTTGAATTTCGAACACTGGTTCCAAAGCATTAAAATACGGCTTGAAGATTGTTCTGAAACTTATTTTTATGACAATCATGTTTTCTTATATATGTAACGACTGAACAGAACACCGCACTGTAGAAAGTGGCGTGACTGAGGAAATTCGAGTCACAACTTTCACTCGTTAATATCATATTAATCGAACATATTACGATTCAAAATGGAATTTTGCTTGTTATGTAACAAATAAATGTACATCAGCGTGGTAATAACAGCTTTCTTTGTAAAAAAAAAAAAAAAAAATACCAACAGGGAAAAACAAAGCTGCAGATGATACATCCATACAAATATATCAAAAGTTGTGGATTAGAACAAGTTTGAACAAATATTCGAATTCTGCAGTAAACAGAGTAATTGTCATTGCCTATTTTACATGTATATACTTATGGTAAATACGTGTATTTTCTACCATCATGTACGTGGAAAGTTGTACATGGCATTGAGATTAACTGATCCATTAAAAGCCTCACTATATTCTTGCCATATGATAGCTACTCATAAATCCTCAAATCTTACTATTTATTAAATACCAAAAAAATAAAAAAGATAAAATTGTTTTGCATGCATTAATTTTTTCAAATAACACCCTTTTCTGACAAATTAAGGTAATAAAACAATTCCATTCTTAATTTAAAAAATAAAAGAAATTGTTACATTTTTAGCTCACCTGAGCCGAAGGCTCAAGTGAGCTTTTTTGATCAAAATTTGTCCGTTGTCTGTTGTTGTTGTCGTAGTCGTCGTCGTTGTCATCGTAGTCGTTGTCGTTGTTGTAAACTTTTCACATTTTCATCTTCTTCTCAAGAACCACTGGGCCAATTTCAACCAAACTTGGCACAAAGTATCCTTGGGTGAAGGGGATTCAAGTTTGTTCAAATGAAGGGCCACGCCCTTTTCCAACACGGAGATAATTATGAATTAGAGAAAAATTAATGGCATTTTAAAAAAATCTTCTTCTCAAGAACCACTGGGCCAGGAAGGTTGAAACTCATGTGGAATCATCCTCGGGTAGTGTAGATTCAAATTTGTTCAAATCATGACCCCCGGGGGTAGGGTGGGGCCAAAGTGGCCGATCAAAGTTTTACATAGGAATATATAGGAAAAATCTTTAAAAATCTTCTTCTCAAGAACCACTGGGCCAGAAAGGTTGAAACTCATGTAGAATCATCCTTACGTAGTGTAGATTCAAGTTTGTTCAAATCATGACCCCCGGGGGTAGGGTGGGGCCAAAATGGCCGATCAAAGTTTTACATAGGAATATATAGGAAAAATCTTTAAAAATCTTCTTCTCAAGAACTATTAGGACAGGAAAGATAAAACTAATGTGGAATCATTTCAGGTAGTGTAGATTCAAGTTTGTTCAAATCATGACCCCCGGGGGAAGGTAGGGGCCAAAATGGTCGATCAAAGTTTTTCATAAGAATATTTAGGGAAATCTTTTAAAATCTCCTTCTCAAGTACTTCAAAGCCATAATTAGTGATATTTATAATTCTTAAATCATCATCAGGTAGTGTAGATTCTAGTTTATTCAAATCATGATCCCCTGGGGAGTTAAGATTTAAGCCCCCCCCCCTCAAAACTCAGTAAACTTTCATTTCTGATCTGAGAATAATTGCTTTTTCCTAGCCTGTGTGCTCAGGTGAGCGCTGTGGCCCTGGGCCTCTTGTTTTGTTTTATTTTTATTTTTCTGACTGACTGCTTAAATTTGAAGGTTTTATTTTATTTTTATTTCGACCCCCGACTCAATTTTTTGAAAAAAATTCCTGTAAAACAGGAAATAAAAAAATGTTGGCCCAAGATGCTATGGCCAAATATTGAAAAATCCTGTCTGGCTCATAACTAGAAAACTATAAAACCTAGAGCTATCAAACTTGGCAAAAGTATACATCTTAGGTAGTAGGTGTGTCGTGACCTATTTCAAGGTCACTGTGACCTTTAATTTAAGTGAAATTTTTAAAAAACTAAGTCTTTTAAATTTTAAATTTCATAATCCTAAAAAATGTGAAAAATATAGTTGTATCCGTATTAAAAAGTGTTAGATCAGGTAAAAACTTATTTTTTCATCATATACTTTACAGCATGATCTGTAACAAATGTCAGTGTTAATGAGAGGAATTCAGTTTGTCCCATGGGCATAATTATCAAGCACTGGTCAAGAAGAATTTTGATAGCAGAAATTTGCATGTCAAATTAGAGAGAAATTAATTAGTTTAGTGTGAGGAGCTAACTGGTAGAGCATCGGTGTTATCTATACCCCTTTGGGAATTGGGCAAATGGGCAGCCTGTATGATTAAAAATAGCTCGTGTTGGCTAGCCTAAGTTTTGAAATGAATTTGATGAAAATTGATTAAAACTAATTTGATATTGCATAATAAACTAATAATCTGATATTATATAATATTAATTAATTTAAAAAAACTAATTTTATGGGGTGAGGTTGAATCAGCATGCCTACTTGTCCATATGAATTTAATATGAAACCTGTCATTAAGGATAAATAACACAAACAAACTTTTTTTTCAGAAATCAGTATTATTTCTCATAGATTTACATTTAAATTGGTAACCTGAATAATGTTTACCAAGTAGAGTGGGAGAATTGTATAAGATTTTGTCATAAGATTGAAGAATTGTGCAAAATTTTGTATTGAATTATATAGAAGGCAAAACAAAATTTCATATCTAAGCACCAAGGAAAACCTACGATTTCTTTATAATTCAGGGATTTATTATTCATGTCATTTCAAATCTAAATCAGTCCAAAAATATATATCAACCCGTGCATCCATTTTTTGTTTGTGGTAAGTACCGTTAAATCTAAAAAAAAAAATATCGTTGACTAATGAGTATTTTAGGCCAACATTTTTTTATTTACTGTTTTACGGGAGCGCCGACCCTAATTTGGGCTAAAATGAAATAAAAATAAAGGTCTCATCTTCCAAGTTTTATTTTTGGTTCTCCTGCCGATAGCTTATTTATAGTCACTGAAAAAATACAAGAAACGTCAACAAAATTTTAACAAGCCTTTCAAAACGTGAATTGTCATTGGCTAAAGTAAATATATCCATCCAATCACAGTTGGCAAAACTAATGAGCATGAATGTGAAGCGTGGATAGCCACTGCACAGCATGAAAGTTAGCGGCAAAATGTCAGAATCGTAGGGTAATGTTTTAAATGCACCCAGTCATTTTAAAAAGTGACATGACATTTATTAGAAATAAAGCATTAATTTTAGATTAAGTTTTAATGAAAGACTGAATAAAATAGACGAAATAGTAATCTTGATCAAATGTTACCATGGTTACGCGGAGGGCCACGGCACGTGGAATTTGGAAATTGAGGTTCTGTCAACCCCTTGTTTTGGGAGGTTTTAAGTACGTATTATCTTTGAAAATTGTTTAAAAGCATTGAAAGATTATTCTTAAACTTTTTAGGTCACCTGAGTAAACTCAGGTGACCTATTGCTATCACTTTTCGTCCGTCGTCGTTCGTCGTTCGTCGTGCGTCGTGCGTTAACATTTGAACATTTTCAGCTTCTTCTCTGAAACCGCTGAACCAATTTCAACCAAATTTGGCATATAGCATCTATGGGTGAAGGGGAACAAAAATTGTGAATTTCATGGGCCCTGCCCCCCTGGGGCCTGGGGGGTGGGGCAAAAACCACTAAAATTAGTGCAATCTTTAAAAATCTTCTTCTTTACTCCTGGACATCAAGCAGTCAAACTGTTTGCATGATTGTAATCAGCATTGAGTCCTCTACCAAAATTGTGAAATTCATGGCCCCGGGGTCAGGGGTTCTGGTGTTAGGGTGGGGCTAAATAAGTATATAGTGAAATTTCATGAATTCTTTGAAAATCTTCTTCTCTGCTCCTGGGTATTAAATAAACTAACTAAGTGCATAGTTATGATGAGCAAGAGTGCCTCTACCAAAATTGTGAATTTTATGGCCCCAGGGTCAGGGGTTCTGGTGTTAGGGTGGGGCTCTATAGATTATATAGTGAAAATACATAAATTCTTTGAAAATCTTCTTCTCTGCTCCTGGGTATTAAATAAACTAACTAAGTGCATAATTATGATGAGCAAGAGTGCCTCTACCAAAATTGTGAATTTTATGGCCCCAGGGTCAGGGGTTCTGGTGTTAGGGTGGGGCTCTATAGATTATATAGTGAAATTTCATGAATTCTTTGAAAATCTTCTTCTCTGCTCCTGGGTATTAAATAAACTAACTAAGTGCATAGTTATGATGAGCAAGAGTGCCTCTACCAAAATTGTGAATTCTATGGCCCCAGGGTCAGGGGTTCTGGTGTAAGGGGGGGGGGCTCTATAGATTACATAGTGAAAATACTTGAATTCTTTGAAAATCTTCTTCTCTGTCCTGGGTAATAAATAAACTAAATAAGTGCATAGTTATGATGAGCATGTCTACCAAAATTTTGAATTCTATGGCCCCAGGGTCAGGTGTTCTGGTGTAAGGGGGGGGGGGGCTCTAAGATTATATAGTGAAAATACATGAATTCTTTGAAAATCTTCTCTGCTCCTGGGTATTAAATAAACTAAATAAGTGCATAGTTATGATGAGCAAGAGTGCCTCTACCAATATTGTTAATTTTATGGCCCCAGGATCAGGGGTTCTGGTGTACTCTATAGATTATATAAAAATACTTGAATTCTTTGAAATTCTTCTCTGCTCCTGGGTATTGAATTAACTAACTAAGTGCTTTGTTATGATGAGCAAAAGTGCTTCTACCAAAATTGTGAATTCGATTAGGGGTTCTGGTGTAGGGGGGGGGGGGGCTCTTTAGATTATATAGTGAAAATACATGAATTCTTTGAAAATCTTCTTCTCTGTGTCTGGGTATTAAATAAACTAAATAAGTGCATAGTTATGATGAGCAAGAGTGCCTCTTCCAAAATTGTGAATTTTAATTCAGGGATTCTAGTGATAGGGTGGGGCTTTATTGATTATACAATGAAAATACACTTAATCTTTGAAAGTTTTCTTCTCTGCTCCTTGGTATTAAGCAGATGAACTACCTATGTAGTTATGATGAGTAAGGGTCCTAATCTTCCAGAATTGTGAATTTCAAGGCCCCAGGGTCAAGGGTACCATAAAGGAGGGGGGGGGGGCTGTACTTATATACTGAAACTGGATGAATTGTTTGAAATCTGCTCCTTGGTATTTATCAAATATTTTTGAAAAGCAAGGGTGCC